CCCCCCCCCGGGCCCGAACCACCCATCACCATCATCCACGCTTTTCTGCCTCGTCAGACAGCAGTCTCGACTCGCACCAGCTTATTGTCTTGTCCAACCCCCAAACACCTTCTCATTGGCGACATTCAGCTTGTGCGCAATCCAAGGTCGGCAACGTGCATTACCTCAGACTTTAAGAGGTCACCTCACCTCACTTATCATACACTGAACCCACACTCTCATCTCTGGTCTACTCAACCCTTCAAGCCTCTCACCATGCCTGGACTCATACCTTTGATGCTCCATGCGCCCAGCGCTGCTTCACGTCGCAGTATTCTCCTTAGTCCTGGCAGCAGCGCTTTCCCTCTCTCATCGCCGCCTCCCACGCAAACTACTCACAAGAGGATGGGCTCACTGGACGCCGCTGCTGCCAGGCCCAAAGCCCGCAGCCCGAAGCGGCTGTCTCTCCAAGCTCCTGCAAGCTTGCCTGTTCTTCCCTACACCGCAGCGGACTGGAACAAGGCTGTGGCCGAGGTCAAGCGCCACTACAGCAACCGTCAGTACCGCGCCTGCTCGGCACGGTGCTGCGAGATCCTTGACAACTTCAAGGATCAGGCAAATGTTGAGCCGACATACCTCATCTACCTTCACTTCTACGCTGCCACCTCTGTTGAAATGCTCGCCCGCCCTTTGAACACGTCGTCGCCCTACCGTGCGAAGCTACTGAACCAGGCGCGTGCTCATTACGCCCGTGCTGCTGAGCTCATCCAGACTGCCGACGAGACCATTTCTACCTACTCACGCCCATCATCGGCCGCCACCACTGCCCCGAGTCTGCACTCGCCCTCTTGCTCTATCTCCTCTCGCAACTCCACAGAACTTTCCTCGCCCACGGCTTCCATCTGTTCACTCGAGGATGCTATGGCCAAACTCGCCAACACCCCCGCACCTCTGCAGACGAAGAAGCGCGTCACTTTCATTGACGACCTGGAACCGATGATACAGGAACCCTTCATTCGTCCCGACTCTCCAACACTCGGATTTGACGACCTTCGCAGCAGCCCTGTGGACGGGTCTCGCTACCTTCCATCGCTTCAAGAGGTCCCCGAGTCCAAGCTCCCCGCCGCCATAGCCGTGGCACCGTCGCCCTCAGCACCGACCCCGGAGCCACCAATCGAGGACAGTGAAGAGAATGACTACGGCTACCTCCGTGAGCGCTCTATTCACCGATACTGCGCTCTCCTAGTCGGCCTTCGGTCTCAAATCGCCTCTCACCTGGCTGCCGTCGATGCTCAGCTGGCTCCTCAGGCCTCCGCGATGGCAAACCACCGTCTCAGCTTCAGCATATCAACACGGGCTGCCACTCCTGATGAGGATGATGAGATGCGGGCCTTGGACCTCAAGGCACGCATTGAGCGCCTGCGAGCCTCAGGATGGAAGCGGCAGCGCTTTAACCCTCGCAGGTACGAGGAGCTTCGTGAAAGCGTCCTCGCCGAGATGTCCTGAACGCTATAGCACACATGACAATTACTTCGCCACTTTCGTTGATACCATTTTTCCACTCGCGCGAGTCGCGAGGACGCAGACTACGTTTCTCACACACGAGCATGTACATACCAAGATGAACAATTTTACGCACGAAACCGGGAAAGGACTAGGTGGTCCAGGATCGGTCGGAGTTTTCCGGGTTAAGCATCTATTATTTTCTTGGTTTATTTTTGGGAACGAGGAACATGGGTGGATGGGGATGCAATTTATAAAAAGGAAGGAGGCGGTAGTCCAACTGTACAGATATGCCCCCCCTCGCCGAGGCGAGGATGCGGAGGCCGAAGCCAATCGCTCGGCTCCAGACGACGATGATTTGAAGACGCAGAGATACCAAATTAGCAGCACTGGCTGAATTTTGATGATGATATTTCAAGACCGATCATACGCAGATTTAGCTGAATCATGGTGCGATTCCCGTGATGGAGTCTCGGTGCTGTTACAAGCGATGCAACACAAAACAGAAGATCAAACAAGTTGAAAAAAAGAAGCCCAGAGGCCATCTGCTTTTGACACAATAGAACCGCTAAGCTAGAGTCATCATCCTGTCAACTTGCTGCACATCTGTCCACCCGTCTGCTCGCCTGACCATTCATTATTCCTTTGTGGAAATTTCCCTGTCGGCAGACGTGACGACTTGTCTCGAAGAGCCGGGAAGGAGGGAAAAAACAAGAGACGCACGGAACCAGAAACCGTCGACGTTTGGAAATTACCCCGCCATGTGGAAGCATGAGCCTCATCACGCACGTATTCCATCGTTTCCCTCCCCCTTGCTCTCCGTCTCTGTCTCTCTGCCTTCCCAGCACACATCAAGGAGAGAGAGTCAAAGCAGGGGCCGATAGAAAAAAGAAGAAGAAAAAAAAGCAAATAAAACAAACGCACTACACCACGATCCGCACCACGGCACTCTCGGCCGTTGCCCGAGTGTTCGGGAGAAACAGGGGTAAGAGGCCCGTACCCGTCTCGTATCATCTGCTACAGCTTCCCGCGTCCTACCCGTGGAAGCTGCGTCTCTTGTGTTCCTTCTCTGCCTCCTCTTTGACCGTGAGGGTCTCCTGCTGCTGCTTCATCTCGCGCACCTTGGCGAAGACGACCTCGCGGAAGATGGCTCCCTTGACGGCTTTGGAGAGCGCCTTCTTGTCTTGCGACAGTGTTGTGTGCTTGGCAAAGTCCTCGTCGCGGAAGTCCGTGTCGTCGGGGTCGTCCTCCTGCAGCTTGAGCGACTCGATGCGGTTGGCGAGCTTGACCATCTCGATGCCACGGCGCAGCCTGGCCTTGGCCATGTAAGCCTTGATCTCGGGCAGCAGGTTGTGGTCGGTGGCGCTGTCGCCGCTGAGCCAGGCGTGGCTGAGGGCCTCCTCACTCGTCCACCGCTTCTCGGGCTCGGGCTGCAAAAGGTGGAGGATAAAGTCCTTGGCGTCCTGGCTGACGTCCTTCCAGTAGCGCTCGTGGAAGACGACCTGGGCGGAGCTGCACTCGTCGATGAGGTCCTGGAGGTTCTCCGAACGGAACGGCGAGTATCCGCAGAGAAGGGTGTATGTAATGACGCCCATGGACCACATGTCGACCGGCTTGCCGTGGCCACGCTTGAGCATGACTTCGGGGGCAGCGTATCCGAACGAACCCGCCATGGTCGTCAAGACCTCGTCCTTGCGATCCAACATCTTGGCAATGCCAAAGTCGGCTAGAACAATCTCCGAGTCACTGTCGCGGCTGCGATAGAGAAGATTCTCGGGCTTGAGGTCTGTCAGGGGTTGTCAGCTGGTTTGAGCGACGTTTGGACAACATCTTGAATCTTCATACCTCGGTGGACGACACTGTTGATGTGAAGATAGTTGACGGCGTCCAAGACCTGCTTGATAGTCTGTGATGCGTCCTTCTCCGTAAACTTTCCCTGTTCGCAAATTCGGTCGAAAAGCTCACCACCGGTAGCCAGCTCGGTGATGATGTAGTATTTGTCCTATACGGAGCGTCAGATATGTTGCGCATCGACCCGCCATCGGGAATGAAAAAGCAGCCGACTCACGCGAGACTCGAACCAGTCGACAAACTTGACAATGTGGGGGTGCTTGAGGCGTTGCAGCATTTCCAGCTCGTCGTAGACCATCCGCTCGTTGCCCTTGACATTCTTCTTGAGGATGATCTTGACGGCGACCTTGCCCGTCGGGCCGTCAGCCTCGCGGACGATACCATAGGTACCCGCGCCCAGGGTTCGACCGAAACGGTATTTGGCCCTAGACATTGCGCATTCGTTAGGACTGAGTCGTCGCAACGATGGCGGGGGGAGGGTGTCGCACTTCTTGTCGTAGCTTTCGGGCTGGCCCTGGAGGCGGCTGAGCATGTTGGAAACTGCGGGGTGAGGCATCACGATTAGCTTGTGCGACATGACTGTGCCACACCGAGGTGCGAGCTCAAAGGAGCAGAGGCGCTCGACAAAGATGCGAACAGCGCGATGACGATTGCATGGGAGGGAAGAAGCGGCTTACAACTCATGATTGGCTTGACGGGAGGTGTTCGTGATGCGTCGAGGCGCAACAAGGTGGTAGGCGGGGGAGGAGGGGTTAGGAGCTCAGGATGAGCAAAAGAGTGCGATATGTTCAACACTACGTGCTGTATAGACACAATAAGAACGTGTTGCAAAAAAGAAAGACCGATGACAGCCAGGCCGGAGTTCGGACAGGAAGGATAATCGGGGGCTGAAGGAACGCACGAGTTGTTGGACAGCCTGGTTGAGTGGGATCTTCGAAGCTGACGATGTGGGGTAATTGTTGTCCCAGTGGCCAGATGCCGGGAAGTGATCAGAGACGAATGTGGATACGCGTACGAACGGCGTGAATCTGGACTCGATAAGCGCAAGGCGAAGCCTGGCGAACAGACGCAGAGACGAAGCAGGGTCTCGCTTCTTCTTAAACAGAGTTCAAGGTCAGCGATGTAGGGTATGGCCAGTCAGCCGACGGTGAAGAGAGCCTTGCCGCCGGATGCTCGTGACGAAGGTGCACTGGGGAGTGAGCAGAGAACGAACCCCAAGGCTTGACCCTCAGCCGCAGAAACGAGGGGCAGAGGCCATCAGAGACGATGGCAGGATTGGAGGAGGAGCGACCGGTCATCACCGTAGTGGGGTTGCGTTGGGGGTGACGACGCTTGTGAGAGGTTGACGGAAGGCCCCTGAGCCCGGGCGGGGTTGGTCAGTGGCCTTGGGGCGTAGACGTCAGGGTGCCGTCGTGGCGGAGGATTGCCGTCCTGCCGCTAACAGCCTGGGGCCTTCAGGGCGGGAAGCATGCTGCTGGGGGGGCCTCCATAAGGCTGGACCAGAGGCGGACTAGGACGCATCTCACTACGAGGGAGGCCTACGGGCCAATATGTCCACCTGCGGGATGGTACGTCGTCATCGCAGCGGCAGGTGGCCGGGTGGGTTCCCACATGCCGCTGACGAAGACCGCTGGATCTCAATAAACTCAGTCAGCTAACGATGTTCACAGATGCCTACTTTAAAAGGGCTTGCATCGCTGTGATGAGCAGCTATGATTAGCAGCCAAGTCGCGAGTACGCAAAAACTACCTAGATGGGCCCTTGCAAATAAATTGGAGAGAGGTGATTTGCGTCGCGGCTGAAAGAGACAAGCCGCAATCGATCAGAGCACACAACTTCACATGCCGTCAACTTTACCTCTGAGAGTCGCGTGGGATTTTTTCCCATCCAAGAACAGCATCAGGGCAAAATATGTATTAGTACGCACTTACAACCTGTTTTGTTATTCAACATTCGCCGCACCGGCAGCCAAAGCACATGGTCAGAAAAACGTCAGAATCCTTGACTGCACTTTCCGCTCGGTACTTACCTAGGTACTTAGGTAGGTACGAGTGCCTTTCAAAAAAGCCTGCCCACCAGCCTGTGCATCGTTGGGGATCCATCTGAACCAAGCGTCACTTTGGTCCTGGAGCCACCCCGACAGTAGCGACCTTGTCCACTCATAGGCACCTGAGGCCCACTAGGCATTCATCCCACTCGACCCCTCCATCGCTTTCCCTGTCCCATCTGAAATGCATTCACTGCGACTCGAGCCGCCGCCTCCGCCTTCTCTCACACAAAAATACTTCCTCACCCAGACAAACCAGCCATTCGGTAGGCCTTCATCATGGCGGTGAGCTTTGCCTCGAAGAGGCTTGCCAAAGAGCTCAATAAGGTTCGCTCCGCGCGTCCATCCATATCTTTCGCACGTCCTCTAACCCTCTCTGCCCATGCAGCTGAACAATGGTCTGCCGCCTGGGATCGAGCTGATCTCTGCGGACAATTTTGAGGAGTGGTTCATGGACATAAGAGTACTGGACGACAATCCGATATACCGCGACCAGATCTACAGACTCAAGTTCAAGTTCTCTCCTCAATACCCAATCGGTGGGCAGCCCCTTCTACCTCGGAAATCCTGGCCAGCTTCCGTCCCGACCTGATTGCTCATGCCTGGCAGAACCCCCTGAGGTCACATTTTCGAAGACCACCGACCGACCGATCCCCCTGCACCCTCACATCTACTCGAACGGCATCATCTGCCTGGATCTTCTGGGATCTCAGGGCTGGAGCCCGGTGCAGAACGTCGAGACAATCTGCATGAGCCTGCAGAGCATGCTCACGGGCAACTCAAAGGCTGAGCGACCGCCGGGCGACGAGGACTTCGTACGAAGCAATAGGCAGCGCCCACGAGACATCGACTTTTACTATCACGATAACACAGTGTAGGTATCGGAAAGCATCACAAAGTCAAAGGTGGTACGGTTAGCCCCGAGTCAAAGCAGCAAACTGTTTCTGACGAGGCGGCGATTACTTGCATGGAATCACCCACATGACGTGGAACCATTCGGTTGGCTGCCGATGGCTCTGCGGTGAAAGTTATTACTTAGGAGTTTGGGCTAGCGGGCATTACTTGATTTTTAAGCTGGTACTGCTTCTTTGCGACAAGGAAGGCCGGCTATCGTGGAGCACAGCATGCATCAACAGTGACGAGGAATAGGCTACGGACCCGTCAGCGAGCAGCCTTCCATCAGGCTCAGCAGGGATGGTCTATGCGAAAGCTTTGCTGAGCAAGCTCTAGAGTCTCAAATGGAAACACCCAAAATGATATCACTAGACGTTTTGAATCAGAAGCTAGTTTGCTGGGGAAGCGCGACAGGCTTTGACTGGTATTCTCGCGGCGGGATGTCCCAAGCCTGGGCGCTTCAGGGACACATCCGAGATGGATCCCCAATTCCCCGCCAACCGTGCATGCCCCGCTGACGCAGCCGCTTGCCAGTGGTCCTCCCCAACGCGGACCCAATTTCGTGACAACCACTGGCCGATAGAACCGCCGGAAGCTTGGAGAGCTCCGTCGTCACTCCTGCATCTCGTACTTCAAGCTCCCAAGCTCCGATTAGCTACCTCACCACACCTCGTGGGCAGCCCAGCATGGCCCCGAGAGTCAGTTTCGATACCGACCAGATCAGGGACAAAGCCCGAAAAGACCTGCTCAACCTGCTAGAGGGAGTAAGTAAGGCATTCCCATCCTCATCAGCATCAATGTCGGGCTAATCGAATGTGCTTCCGACCAGGTCCGCGGCAAGCTAAATCTCGTTCTCGAGCGCAGTCTGGCCGGCCCCATCGGCGCCATCGTGAAAGTCGCGACGCTTCAAGAGTACGGAGTCGACAAGTTCTTCTTCCTGGAGAACGACAACGCGGATACCAGCCAGCGCAATGTTGTCTTCATAGCGAGGGGTGAATGCGCCCGCAGTGCGCCCAAGATAGCAGGTCAGTTGGCTCTAGCCCCATGTCTTTGCATGTCCCAGTCTTGATGATTCCTGCCCGTCTCGTCTTCGGCTCCTCAAATAGCGATGTGGCGAGAGATTGTTGACGATGACCAGCTCACATCAGACGACTCCAACGCGAAAGCCAGACAGGTCACGACTTTCACATCTTTTGGGTCCCACGGCGAACTCTCGTTTCAGACAAGCAGCTCGAAGAGGCTGGTGTCTTGGGAGATGTCAACATATCCGAGCTACCTCTTCACTTCTTCCCGCTGGAAAGAGATGTTCTCTCACTCGAACTTGATGAATCGTTTACCGACCTCTACCTGAACAAAGATATGACGCCGTCGTTTCTCATGGCGAAAGCGTTGATGGAGATCCAACAAAACCATGGACTTTTCCCTCGAATCATCGGCAAGGGCGACAACGCGAAACGTGTGGCCGATCTGCTGGCGCGCATGCGACAGGAAGTACTGGCTGGCGACGATGCGATTCAAGTCCAACGAGATGGCGGTTTGGCCCCGAGTACGACGATCGAAAGTGCCATTATAATTGACCGCGAAGTCGACTTCGCCACACCGCTTCTCACCCAATTGACATACGAGGGCCTCATTGACGAACTCTTCGGCATTCAGAACAATCAGGCAGAGGTCGACACGACCGTCGTTGGTGCACCAGCTCAATCCACCGCAGCCAGTGCGCAGACACGCAAGCGGAAGATACAGCTAGATTCTTCAGACAAACAGTTCGAACAGCTTCGCGACAAGAATTTTGCCATTGTTGGCAATTTGCTCGGCCAGCAAGCTCGGCGGCTTCAAACCGTGCAGAAGGACTACGAAGGCCGGAACAACCAAAAGTCGATCGCCGAGCTAAAGGACTTCGTCAACAAGCTACCCGCATATCAGCAGGAACACCAGAGCCTGCGAATTCACACAGGCCTGGCTGAAGAGATTGTCAAGTACACGAGAACAGATCAATTTAAGGGCCTTCTAGAAGTCCAGCAAAACCTGGCAGCAGGAGCGGATCCATCCTCGCAATTCGACGCTATCGAGGAACTGATTGCTCGCGACACGCCATTACCGGAAGTCCTCAGATTGCTCTGTATCTACTCTTGCATCTCTGGAGGCGTTAAACCCAAGGAATACGACCAATTTCGACGACTCATTCTCCAGGGGTACGGGTACCAGCATATCATGACACTCAACAAGCTCGAGAAGCTTCAACTATTCCTTTCACGATCGTCGCCATTGGCTGGCATGATTGGAAGTTCTGGCGATAAGACAAATTACTCCCATCTTCGGCGTCTCCTGCGACTCATTGTCGACGAGGTTCAGGAAGACGACCCGAATGACATTGCTTACGTGTACAGTGGATATGCGCCGCTTTCCATTCGACTTGTCCAATGCGTGCTGCAGAAGCAGTATCTTCTCACGGTCACCAAAGGCAATGGCTTCACAGGATCCAATAGTGCGTCGGCCGCCCAAGGTTGGCATGGTTTCGACGAGGCGGTTAAACATGTCCGCGGCCAGACTTTCTACAATGTCCAGAAAGGGGAGGACAAGGCCGTCAAAGCCCGCGCACTTCTTTCAGGCGGTAACGAGAAGCAGACAGTCTTCATTGTATTCGTCGGAGGTATCACGTTCACCGAGATCGCTGCATTGAGGTTCATCGCGAAGCAGGAGGAAGGTAAGTCGAAATCCATACGTTGCTACAGTTGGATACCCGGACGGTACGCTGACGTATTTGACAACAGCTCGGAGAAACATCGTCATCTGTGCCACCTCGATCATTAGCGGGAATAGGATGATGGATGCTGCGATTGAAACACAGTCGTATGCGAAGGATGTTAAACCCATCACCCAAGCGCAATCATAGATGGGTATGGCGAGTCTTCAAAGAACATTGTGAGGAGGAGATCGTGTATCATCTATTTTCAGCGTCGTTCTCAGCATCTTCAGCGGAAGTCCCATGAATTGCAAAAATAGGCCCTTGTTGGGAGCTCCGAGGTTGGTCGCGCTGCAGCGCTTTGTATGAAACTTATCGAATCAATGACAGTTGGAAAGAGACTATGCGGATCATCCAACGCTAGAATGTTGCAGTGAATTGCCAACCGGACATGAACAAGAGGAATGTAGAGGTGCTTTAGTCTAATGGAACTTGGGGCAACGTCTGGTTGAAGACGATCCAGCACGGGTAGTGAAAAATGCACGTGACCCGCTGTTTCGGCTCTACAGCGGAGTTTGGAACCACGCCAGCGGGCTCAACACCATCAGGAGTGGTCTTACCGGTTTATATCTACATGCATCGACTTGCGAGAATAGCTGCGGCTCCGAAATATACGATCGAGTGACGAACTCAATACGAGGCATTCGCATCCACATACTCTCAGCCTCTGAACCGGCTGGCCGGGGCCTCGCCACGCTCTTCGAGCGGCTGCATCCTCGCCTCACCCCGGACTCGGCTCAATTGGTACGACAAGGAGAACCTCATATATTAGCTCTCAGGAGTGAGATTTCCCTCTTGCCACGGAACTAATATGTCTACTCAGAACATCACATCTAGCATCTGATGCGCGATGATGATATCGGCCCCGACTGCCCGCCTACGTTCCGCTCTCTGATGGCAGTAAGGTCGAGAACCCCTGCTCTTGCGACATCCGATTTTCAGATACCACTCCTATATATCCACCCAAGACCAGCCCAATCGTCCTGCCGGCCGACTATACGATGAGAACAAGTCCCAGGTCGAGGGATAAGCTGGGAATTGGGTCTGGGAAGGAACTCTTCACCCCGTCAGGGTTCCTTAACTCACACATGTTGCATTCGTCACCACTTTCAAAGACTGCCAAGACTTCATTCTCGATATCGCCTTTGAGAGATCCCACGTCGTCAGCAAGCAGTCAAATATCGCTCGAAGCCATGTCAGAAATCGCTTCTGAGATTGTTGTCCACGGCGAAGACATGGATGTTGACGACTCGATGAACGATACCTCGATGGCCACATCAGCTGTGGCCTCACCAGCAGAGTACGTATTATCTACTGACCTACTCTTCAATCACTTGCTGCCAGCTGCATCTACTGTTGTTCTGTTGAGATTCTTTACTTAGCACCTCTGACCTCACCCAGATTCTCAGGCAACGAAGACATGGCAGAACCCTCGCCTCACCGCGATATTCTTCAGACGAACCGTAACTCTTTAGAGTCCCCAATGTCACATACGTCGGAACAATCCGAACTGTCCTCTCTGCTGTCATCCGTCTCTAGTAAGGCTACGACTCCCGTCGACCTTAACGCAGCTCAGGAGCCCGCTCTCTCATCAGCACGATATTCACAACCTCGCCAGGTGCCGAGACGCACGTACGACGTTGAGCCCAAGTCTTCCGTTCCGGCGGGCCTGGACGACATCACATACGCTGCTGAATGCATACGCGCCGTTGAGGCTTCGAGACTGGATCCATTCTCATTACACCAAGGAGAATATCAGCTCCTGCGCCAGCACATCACCCACAACCAAGTGACTACATACCTGAATGTCAGGAACGGTATTGTGCGACTATGGTACCACAATCCACGTGTGCCCGTTACGCGAGACCAAGCAATTGGATGTGCTAGTGTGCGATGGTTCGACGTCGCCAGCGTCTGCTATGATTGGTTAGTGCGCAACGGATTCATCAACTTCGGATGTGTCGAGTTCCCGACGGTAGATGAAGAGAAAGAAGGGGAACCACCGGCTACGAAGCAAAAAACGATTGTCGTCATCGGAGGCGGCATGTCCGGCCTGGGCTGTGCGAGGCAGTTGGAGAACTTGGCGAAACAATACAAGGATCAGTTTCGAGAACTGGGCGAATTGCCGCCCAAAGTTGTCGTTCTGGAAGGACGCACCAGGGTCGGCGGTCGGGTGTATTCACGAGCCTTCACAACAAAGCCCACCTTGTCGGTGCCTGGGTTCCCCGGCGAAAGGTACACCGCTGAGATGGGCGGTATGATTATTACAGGCTTCGAGCGTGGCAATCCGATCAATGTCCTCCTGCGCGGCCAATTGGGCCTTCACTATCGAGCGTTGAGACCAGAGACAACTATTTACGATTCAAACGGTCGGCCTGTGGACCCATTGAGGGACGATCTGGTTGAGAAACTCTACAACGACTGTCTCGATCGAGTCAGCGAATACAAGCATCACAACCAGCCGTCCAAACTTATTAGAGGCAATCATGATTATATAGAGCACGGGCGCGACAGCGGAACTGATGGAAGCAAAACAATTGCCGAGTCTGAAGAAGCAGCAGCAGCGCTGCCTCACGCAGCGCCCGTCTCGCAACAGAACGTTCCGGAACGAGTAAACCGCGTGCCGGTATCTGCAGATAAACTGACTGGTCGAATCCATACCGAGCCGGGCACTCCAGCTACCAGCAAAGCCTCAGAGAAGGCGAAAGAGATGGGCTGGACGCTGAAAAACAACATCGCACCTGAGGCCAATATTGATCTCGACGACGCGGCGGCCCGGTCTGATGCCACCCTCGGCTCCGTCCTCGACGAGGCTATCGGGCAGTATCGCAACCTTGTCGACCTAACGGCTCAAGATCATCGGCTCATTAACTGGCACGTCGCCAACCTAGAGTACAGCAACGCTACGAGCTTGCATAATTTGAGCCTGGGCAATTGGGACATTGATGCGGGCAATGAATGGGAAGGCAAGCATACCATGGTCGCCGGTGGCTACCAGACGGTACCGCGTGGCTTAGCCTTGTGCCCCACGCCACTCGACTTGAAGACCAAGGCTCCGGTTCAAAAGATCAAGTACATTAGCGAAGGCGGTTTGAAGCGATCACTTGTCGAATGTGAGGACGGCACCGTCGTTGAAGCCGACTATGTTGTCTCAACCATACCACTTGGAGTCTTGAAGCAGGGCAGCGTCGAGTTCGACCCGCCTCTGCCAGGATGGAAGACTGATGTCATTGAGCGCATTGGGTTTGGAGTCCTCAACAAGGTTATCCTTGTGTATGATAAGCCCTTCTGGGACACCGAAAGGCACATCTTTGGCGTCTTACGAGACGCACCGAACCGGCACAGCCTGGCTCAGAGCGACTACGCCTCACAACGCGGAAGGTTTTTCCAGTGGTTCAACGTTACCCAAACGACCGGACTACCATGCCTTGTGGCCCTCATGGCAGGCGTTGCAGGCTTCGACACTGAGCGAGAAAGTAATGAGGATCTCGTCAAGGAAGCCACTGGCATACTCCGAGGTGTTTTCGGCCGCAAGGTTCCCTTCCCTGTCGAGGCGGTCATTACCCGATGGGGCTCCGATAAGTTCAGCAGAGGCAGCTACTCGTCTTCAGGGCCCGGCATGCATCCTCATGATTATGATGTCATGGCCAAACCTGTTGACAACCTATACTTTGCAGGGGAGCACACCATCGGAACGCACCCGGCGACGGTACACGGCGCTTACATGTCTGGACTGCGGGCGGCCTCAGAAGTCTTTGACGCGTTGCTGGGCCCTATTGATATCCCCTCGCCACTCGTTCTTTCAAAGAGCAGCGTAGTCCTCAAACGCAAGAGTCCGGTCGAAGTCTACGACCCTGAGCGCGCGCGCCGCGACGCTCACGAGGCAGCGGTCTGGGACTACATCATCAGCACCATCGGTGAGCGCCCCATCCCGCCTGGCAAGGTAGCTGCCAACGCATACGTTCTCTACAATAAAGAATTCTTCGACGAGGCGCGGAAAAGATGCGAGAAGGAGCGCTCCGGCAAGAAGAAGGTCAGCCCCAACGATGTCAGAGTCATGACGTCCAAGATGTGGAGGGCAGCCTCGGCCGAGGAGCGGAAGCCGTTTGAGGAGGACGCCGTCAAGGCCAAGGCCGCGCACGCGCTGGCTGTGCAAGAGTATAACGACGGCTCTGTTCGATGGGACGAGGCCGCCATCAACTTGCGGGCAGAGTATGAGGAAGAGCACGATCTGGCTGGTTCCGCGACGCTGACCGCCGATGGAAAGCATCGTCGCACGAGTAAGCCTGTGGATTATGCGGAGGACGATGAGAGCGTGTCTGAGTAGGAAATGAGAGGAGTGTCAGGCGCTGTTTTCCCAGGCGGAGTGAGAGGCCAAGTGCTGTGCAGATGAGCAGTTGTGGCTCCGACCGAGCGGCGATACGGTGTTACGGAATTCTCGGCACATACCCTTTTGGCATTTCGCCGCGGCGCGAGGTGGACAGACTCTACGGACAACAGGGCGATTTGTTTCTCGTGTTTTTTTCTGGTGGCCTGGACCTCACTATACAGTAAAGTCCTCACAATACAGACTCGCACATACACTAACATTCATCGCATTCACGCGAATTATTGTATGCGGCGCTGTTTCTTTTTTTCAAACGTGACCGTCTCATCTCTAGGTCAAGGATTTATTGGGAAGGCTTTGGTACACCGAGGCATGGGTGGCCATCGTTCGAGAGCTTGATACAAAGGGAAGAGGTATGGTATTCTCCGACGCGATGCATTTCGCAGATTACATGTCCTCCGAGGCCGTCGCACCAGTGATAATCTCAACCAGCTCGCCCGTAATGACGGCTTGGCGAGTACGGTTGTAGAGAATCTGGAACTTGCTGATCATCTCGCCGGCGTTCTTGGAAGCGTTCTATCGTGTGTCAGTCACTTGCGTCATCTCAAAAAGGGTCTATGAATCTACTCACGTCCATGGCGTTGCGACGGGCGGACTGCTCGCAGGCGTGGCCCTCGGCCAGAGCCCAGAAGAGGGAGTTGGCAAGGGCGTACTCGCGGAGGTTGGGGAGAAGCTCCTCGTCAACCTCGAAGGAAGAGAAGTTGGCTGTAGAAACAAAACATCAGCAAAAGGGTCCTTGGTATCGGTTCTCACCGCGTCAAAAGCTTACCGGAGGCAGTGATGGCCTCAACGTCAAAGGCATCAATGGTAGCGGGCTCGTAGCTCTGAGCGTTCAAGAACTTGTTGTAGACAATCTTGACGTTCGAGTACTCGGTGGGGAGCTGGACGATCTGGTCGGCAATGGCGGCGGCGTCACCGAAAGTAGGAACGTCCTTGCCGACACCGGCGAAGTTGAGAACGATGTCCTTGCCGTTGGTGCGCTGGAGCTGGGACCTGCACTTCTCGCCGATGATGACCATGTCGAAGGGGCCACCGTCGGGAGTGGTGCGGCGGATGTAACGGGACAGACCGGAGTGAATACCACCGCAGAGACCCTTGTCGGAGGAGCAGACGACGACGAGCTGCTTCTTGCCCTCACCCTCGGTGGGCTTGGTCTCGGCCGACTCGAAAACCTGGTTGGAGGTCTCACCGTAGGCACGGGAATCGTTCATGGAGCGCTGGGCGCGAGTGAGCTTGGTGGAAGCAACGATCTTCATCGTGTTGGTGATCTTCTCGATGTTGCGAATGGACTTGAGACGGCCCTCGATCTCACGAAGAGTGGCATAGGTGGCGGCGGTGCTGGGGGCGCTCGCGGCGACGCTGCATCCGAGTCGTCAGCATCATTGTTCCATCGCATCTCGATTCCTGTGGCGTCTCCAGCTCTTCCGAGCCATCTTTCACTGTCCAATCGACGGGCGCGAGGTCGCGTTGTCATTCCGAAACTCTGCCAGACTTCTTCCAAGGACCGAGCCACTTACCGAGGAGCCGCAACAGCAGCTCGCAGAGCTGGCCTTGCCGCGCGGGAGAGCATTATGGAAGATTAAGGAGGTGAAAGGGACCTTGCACCGGAGGAAGCTTCAATTGACCGCGGGTCGTCTAGAAGGCCAATTGACAGGCTGGGGCGAGTGCTTGATGGGCTGTCGATGGGGTTGAGAGGCTATTTTCAACCGGCAACGGGCGAGCAGCCAATGTCGGACTTTCCCGGCTAGCCGGGTTTGGCAGGAATCAAGTCACGTGAGGCTGCGGACCAGACACTGGACACTCTGAACAGACTGAGTGCGAGGAGCCAAGGAGGGAACAGGAATACGGCGCGAGGCTCCACCCACCTGCCACCTCAGCCGCCCGGGCGTATTGTTCCTACCTTAACTCCCAGGGCCGCCCCATCCAAATCGTCAAGCCAAAGCTTCCCTTCCCTCAGTCTGGCCCTTCCTCTTCTTCCTCTATTTGTGACGGCCCTGCAGATCCTATCCCTCCTGCAAACCATCTAGCGTGGGGCTGGAAGCGTGGAGTGGCAGAAGTTACAATCTTTTTTTACCTTCAATCCTTCAATTCTCGTCAATCGACCATTCGACAAGCTGCTACTGCGAACCGCATCAACAGCTTACAGCAATCGCGCCGCTGCGATTTTCTCACCAAGACCGAACTCCATAATACCACCCGCTAGTGTCGAGCCAGCAACCCCACGGGCTCGCATTCGCCATGGCTACCAGCTCCGACGATGATATGCCTCTGGCGACGTCTAACGGACATGGTAAGTTTTTTCCGACTTTCCTGTTCCGGCGCATGCATCCCTCTCAATGCGCCTTCCGCTCTCTACAACCCCAAAGCCTTGTTGACGTGTCACTCACCTTGGGGTGACTTGACGCGCCTTCTTCGAGACAACTTTTCCCCCCTCTCCACTTATCCAGATTCTGACAGACACTCGATAGTCTCCGCTTCCAAAATCTCCAGAGCTGAAGACAAGGCCATGGACGCTACCGATTCCAGGATGAAGCCAGCACCGGCCGGCATCTCTGTGCGCAATGGTCCCGTTGTCGACGACATGGACATCTCACCTGCCCAGGACGGACTTGCAAAGCGGAAGGCACGCACCTCAATCACCAAGATCAACTACCAGGACGGTTCAGATAGTGATGATGACAAGCCACTGGTAGGTTACCGCAGGCCTTCAGGTGCCTCAAGAAGCGAGACTAAACACGCGTGCAGGCAAAACGTCAAAAGACCAAGACGAAAACGAAACAGGAGTCCGATTCTGACGATGACGTACCCATCATGAGGAAGAGGGCCAAGCTGCCCCCATCATACAAGGAAACTGCGCTCCCCGAGTCCGACTCTGACGATGATCAACCACTCAGCGTGAAGCTCGCTGCGAAGAAGGAAAGCATCGAAGCGGACGCCGCGAAGGAGGCCAGAGCCATTCGGGCGCAAGAGAGCAAAGCCAAGAAGCCCGCTGCAAAGAAGCCCATCAAGGATGATTCCGATGATGAGCCTCTCGCAAAGCCTAGACGGCAGTCCAATGGCGTGGGTGCCATCAAAAAGCGCGTCGTCAAGGACGAGTCCGATTCTGACTCCAACAAGCCCATTGCGAAGAAGGCTAAGAAGGCTGCGCCCGCTAAAACGCCAGCCAAGGGTACGAAGGCAAAGGCCGCCACGCCGGCCAAAAAGGGCAGGCCCGCCAAAAAGGAAGAGAGCGAGGAGGCCGAAGAAGACGAGGCTGTAGATGAGTGGTGGAACGAGCCAAAGAAAGAAGATGACAGTGTCAAGTGGACCACACTCGAGCATAATGGCGTGTTGATGGACTATAAGTACGAGCCGCTTCCAAAGAACGTCAAGCTCGTCTACGACGGCAAGCCACTCAATCTCCCTCTCCAAGTCGAGGAAGCTGCATGGTTTTTCGGATCCATGTTCCACTCCAAGAACAACGTGGACAACCCTACGTTCCAGAAGAACTTCTTTGAGGATTTCCGCGAGGTAATCAAGGAGCATGGCTCGGCGACTGACAAGGATGGCAAAAAGGTTGATATCAAGGACTTCCACAAAATCAACTGGCAGCCCATGGCCGACTTCGCTGAACAGCAAAGTGCCATGAGGAAACTCCGAACCAAGGAGGAGAAGAAGCAGATCAAGGAGGAAAAAGACGCGCGAGAGGAACCGTTCAAATACTGCCTCTGGGATGGTCGCAAAGAGAAGATGGGCAACTTCCGCGTCGAGCCTCCCAGTCTTTTCCGTGGACGTGGCGACCACCCGAAGACGGGTAGAATCAAGAAGCAGGTTTTCCCGGAGCAGATCACCATCAACATTGGCAAGGACGCAAAGATTCCCAAGCCTCCTGATGGTCACAAGTGGAAGGCTGTTGTACACGACAACAAGGCTACGTGGCTCGCGTCATGGCAGGAAAACATCAACGGCGCGTACAAGTACGTCATGACGGGCTCCAGTAGCTCCGTCAAGGGCAAGTCAGATCACATGAAGTTCGAAAAGGCGCGCGAGTTGAAGAAGCACATCGACAGAATTCGTCGCGACTATGGCAAGGACCTCAAGAGTGAGACGATGGCTGACAGGCAGCGCGCTACTGCCATGTATTTGATCGACAGGTTCGCGCTTCGAGCCGGTAACGAAAAGAATGCCGAGGAAGAGGCTGAGACTGTCGGCTGCTGCTCTCTCAAATTTGAGCACGTCACCCTCAAGGAGCCCAATACTGTCGTCTTTGACTTCTTGGGTAAAGACAGTATCCGTTTCTTTGACGAGTTTACTGTTGAACGCCAAGTCTTCAAGAACCTCAAGATCTTCAAGAAGCCTCCCAAGGGTGAAGGTGATGACATCTTTGACCGCTTGACCACGACGCAGCTGAACAAGCACTTGAAGAGTTACATGGATGGTCTCACTGCCAAGGTGTTCCGTACCTACAACGCCTCCTTCACCATGTCGCGGCTGCTCCAGGAGCTCCCCGTGGAGAAGGCCACGATTGCAGAGAAGGTGAAGCTCTACAACGACTGCAATCGCAAAGTCGCCATTCTCTGCAACCACAAGCGGACTGTCGGTGCCGGTCATCAGGCCCAGATGGAAAAGCTCGGAGACCGCATCAAAGGTCTGAAGTACCAGCAGTGGCGTACGAAGATGATGATCCTTGACGTCGACCCCAAGCAGAAGAAGAAGCTCGGGGCGGATTTCTTCAAGCTCGACGAGGAGCTCGATAACGAGTGGATCGAGGAGCACCTGAATTTCCTTTACGAGGAGCAGCGAACGAAGATCACCAAGAAATTTGAAAAGGATAACGAGAAGCTTGTTGCCGAAGGTTCCAAGAAGCTGCCCGAAAAGGAGCTTAAGGAGCGCCTCAAGGCTGCCTCGGAACTGCTCACGAAGCTCAAGAAGGAGCACAAGACAAAGAAGGTCGAAGCCGAAGGCAGAAGCCCCACCGTGGAGAAGCTCTTGGAGGGGGCGAAGAAGATTGAGGAGCGCGCCAAGAACCTGGAACTTCAAGCCCAGGATCGTGACGGCAACAAGGAGGTTGCCCTGGGTACCAGTAAGCTGGTGAGTCATGATGCCACCCAAGCTGTTCGCTGTAGCATGCTAACCTATCTCAGAACTACATCGATCCACGCCTCACGGTTGTCTTCTCACGAAAGTTTGACGTGCCTATCGAGAAGTTCTTCTCGAAGACTATGCGCGAGAAGTTCAACTGGGCTATTCAGTCGGTTGACGACGACACGTGGGAATTTTAGGCGGCACTGTTCCAAGCAGCGCGACCTGAAGCCAAACAGCAGCTTGCCGCGCCTTTCTGTATACAACACATGCATTGCTAGGGAGAGGCTGCTGCTGCTGCGATTTCTTTGCCTAAAGTAGCCCGGCCATCAGTGTACCGGCTAGGTGCTCGGTGGGGTGTCTCAAAAGCTACAATCGAAGGGGGAGGCCGGCATTCTGGTGGCATTTTCTTTGCTTATGGTGCTAGGGGATTTGATTGGGAGGCCGTCTGAGGATGACATTCGCGCAGCGATGGACGTTGCTTGTTGTTTGCGCTGGGGGGGAGGCGGAGAGGCCTATGATGCCGTCGATGTATAACACTTGGATACCGACCAATCAGGGAGTCAACAAATTAACAAATTAACAAATCAAATCGCATGCGGGAGCGTGCACTTTTCCCTCTCGTGCTTGAATTATGTTATGTGCCATACTCACAGGTGCACAAAGCCATCACGCCAGCCAAGCAAGCAAGTCTGAAGGCATGGCAGTTGTGATGAAAATGACACCAGGGTTGTATCCACGAATTCTGAGGAAGGAACGTAGAGTAACTGGTATCTTTGGGGGAATTTATTCCTCTAGTGCTTCGTGGTCCATTTTCAGAATGGAAACACATCTATGGGTTCTCGAATTCCAGGGCCGTTCAGGCTGTCGCTATGCTAAAATGATGTTCCAATACGCCTCATGCATGCCCCCCTCCCTCTCATCTCTTTCTACATCTCCATCGTCGTGACGTCTCATTTTCCCATTCCAAAGCATTAAAATAAGTTGATATCGTTTGGTCGTACACAATAAAGCCCTTCCCTTCTTCCTTTTTCTTTTTCTTCTCCCAAAATCGGAAGGGAGGCTTCACCTCCTGACGACGGCCACGACGCCGGCGAAGAAGGACAGGGCCAGGAGCAGCACGTGCGGGCGCAGCGAGGCGCCGGCGCCAATGGCGCGCAGCTTGCCCTCCTCGGTGATGCGCCAGCCCTCGGGCACGGAGCCGCCGTTGGGCCTGTCGGCGCCGTCCCAGGGCCAGCCGGTCTGCTGGGCGGTGGCCTCGTCGGTGCCGATGCCGCCGGGGGGCACGGTGGGGGCGGGCCCGCCCGTCTCGGCGGCGGCGGTGGCGGTGACGGCGACCTGGTCGGCGTTGCCCTCGTTGGCGTTGACGGTGCCGCCGACGGCCTCGATGGACTGCCAGCTGCCCGAGTTGTCGGTGTACTTGTACTGCTTGCCGGTGGAGTAGTCGATGACCTTGAGGTCGCGGACGACCATGCTGAAGGGGCCCTGCGTGAAGTCGGTGGGGCCCTTGGCCCAGGCGATGGTGCCGGGGGCGTTGGCCGGGTCGCCGCCGGACCAGGCGCCGAAGCGGACCTGCATCGGGGACTGGGGGTACTGGTTGTCGTCGGCGTCGGCGGGGGTCAGGGTGCGGACGAGGGTGCCGTCGACGTAGAACTCGGTGCGGTCCTTGGTCCAGTCGAAGATGTAGGTGAGAAACTCGTCCTGGTTGTTCTTGTCCATCTTGTGGAACTGGCCGCGGTTGTAGGACGTGACCTGGCCCTTGCCGAAGTAGTTGGTCTGGACCTCGTGCGGGTCGGCGCCGAGCCACTCAAAGTCGATCTCGTCGAGCGTATCGGACTGGAGGACGAGAGAGGAGACGATGCCGGCGCCGGGAGCCGCCTTGAGTGTGATCTCGACGCGGCCGAACATGATGTAGAAGAGCGACATGAGCTGCGGGGCCTGGCCCGAGGCGGCGACGGTGAAGCTGACGCCGTCGCGGCCGTAGGTCGGCGAGCCGGCTTCGATAAAGGTATCGACGGCGCCGTTGGCAAAGTCGACGTCAATGGCCATGCCGAGCGCCGTGTTAGGTTCGCATGCTACGCGGGGGAATCGTCAGTGATTGATGTCTCGGGGCGGTGGGTCAAGAGGCAGGTGGAGAGCATACTTGTTGTCAGCGGGTTACAGTCCGTCCATGTCTGGGCCGCTGTCAATGTTGAGAATGCTGCTGCCGCTGCCGCCGCCAAGGCTGCGGGGCTCCGTCTTGTTCTTGAGAAGAACATTTCTCCGTGTCTGTGTCTGCGTGTGCGCTCGAAAGAGGTAAAGGAAGGCTGAAACTCGAACAACCGTTTGTACAGAAAGGGCGAGCAGATGGACGAGGTCGAAAAAGGTGCCTCTCTTGAGCCCAGATGGTAAGTAGCCAGTGAGGTTTGTCGGTGATGTTCAGTGAGCCTCGGGCGAAGGAGGTTTCCTCTGTCTCGATATGTCTCTTGTGACGGTAGACAAGGAGACAATAGGGTGAGTAGGTGGTACAGTGACTGGTATGTTACAACTGGGACAAGAGTCCGTCCAAGGGCAGACGCGGCGGCATGGCAATCTATATGGGAGACTTTCCCAGCCTGCAAGTTCAAGGATGTGGCGGCCCAATCGACGGGACGGTGGGGCCCAAACGCAGTGTCGAGCACTTCAAGATCTTGGAAACCGCTTGGCCGTGCAAGTCCCGGACGGCCGGCCAGGGAATACGAGGCTGAAGCCGGCCAGCGCGGGCCTGTTGAGCGCAGTTGTCAGGGTCCTGTTGTCGTATCAACGACATGGGGGAGATTTGGGGGAGGTTGGGACAAGCGCTGGAGGAGCCTAAAGAGCAGAATGGCGTGTGCTGATTGGCCGCGGCGTGGCTGAAAATGTGTGGCTGGAGGAATCAAGGTGGCTGGCATGACGAGCTGCTTGGCGCAGCGACGTACATGGTGCGTACGTACCTTTCCTCGAGACACCATACCTCACTCGCCTCACATTGATAGGCAATGCCTGCTCAAACATGCGGCCATTGGGTCCATCGTCATGGAACGGAGATTTCCAGGTCCGACGACGTGGTTCGCTCTTATTCTCGAAGCTGTCCTGTTCATGCACTTGATCGTGGCTCAACCAGATGGGCGACTGATAAGGTCCTCGACAAAAAAGGTCTCCACTTCTTCGGTATCCCCCAGCACCACCCACATCCACATCCACATCCACACCACACCACTGCACCAACTTGACCAACAAGCAAGCAGCCGGCTTCTATGCATCATCGGGCAGCTTCAGCAAAAGGAAGCCGAACAGCAACAGCGTGCAAGACGCAGGAAAGCAATTCTGATGCAGTCGAAGGCCCAATACCCCACAGCACGCACAACTTCCCCTCACACCGTTCCCAGACCGACTTTCCTCCTTCAGGTGCTTGTCGTAGCTTCCTAACGCACTGGGCGCGTGACGTCAAACGAGAGCCGCAACTGCCCGCCGATGCCGAAAGCAACGCGGCTCCTGCCCTACAATGTGACCTGGACGCTGTACAGGGCGCTGTGCGGCGCCGGCCTAGGGCGTCCCTCCAGGGCGCTGCCAAAGGGCGTGCTCTGGCACGGGAAAGGGGGGGGGGGCGAAGGAGGTCACAGTGCAGGACCCCTGAAACCTCAGCGAATCACAGCGCCTCTATGCGTCCAGAATGACATGGGTAGCTGCGGGTACCAGCGGAAATGCCCCGCCAATCCACCTGCCCGCCCTGTCGTCCGCCGGTCGAGCTTGCCTCCCCCTCCTTATCTCGAGTCACGATGTGTAAGAGGTTCGATGGATGGGGAAGGACAATGAAACCGCCCTCCCTACAACTCAGTCCCTCAGCTACGAACGCTACGCACTAGAGTTCAACGCTACACGGTCTGATCGAGATCAGGAACGGCAATACAAAACCCATACCATCCCCCGGAGACTGCTTTCACAATGGGTCACCTCGCAACCCAACGTGCTTTACGCCTGCGGAACATCAGAGCCATGTCCGCCACCGCTTGCCAGACCGCACCTGTCGGACTCATGTCCAGACGATCGTTCCATGCCAAGCCAAAGCTCAACTCGGCCGGTGAGGCCGCTCCGGTGCAGCAAGATGCCGTGCTCGAGAACAAGCAACCGATATCCGTCTTCGACAGCATCCGGGAGCGGCGGGCCAAGGCCGGCAAGCTCGTCGCCGGCGTTGCTGCCGTATCTGACAGTGACATGTTCAAGGCGCCATCTCATGGGAAGCCGGAAGCCAAAAGATGGGACCGTAAGACAGCCGGTCCTCGAGTCTCTGGCCCCCGACTCTCGCTGACCAAGAGGCCGTAGACCACCTGAGCCACGAAGCCGCGGTGCGCAAGCCATGCACCCTCAAGCAAGCCGCTCGTTTTCTCAAGACCCCAGGTCTCATCTCCCTCGGCGGCGGCTTGCCGTCGAGCGAGTATTTCCCCTTTTCAGAGCTCACCATGCGTGTGCCCACGCCACCAGACTTCGCTGAGAAGGACAATCTCTCTGCACAAAGTCCCACGGCGCAGACCATTAGCATAGGCAAGTATGATGTGCGCGAGGGCAAGTCGGAATACGACCTGTCCATCGCCCTCAACTATGGCCAGTCTACGGGCTCCGCTCAGATGATGCGCTTCGTCACAGAACATACCGAGCTGGTCTACAACCCACCGTACGCAGACTGGAAGGTGTGTCAGACAGTCGGCAGCACAGGCGCCCTCGAGCAGGCCTTGCGCATGCTCTGCGACCGTGACAGGGGTGACTCGGTCCTCACCGAGGAGTACAGCTTCTCGACCGCCCTCGAAACCATCGGCCCCCTGGGCATCAAGACCTTTGGCGTCAAGATGGACGCCGAGGGCCTGTTGCCCGAGAGCATGGACGAGCTCCTGACATCGTGGGACGAGAAGGCTCGCGGCGCCCGCAAGCCGCATGTTCTGTACACTGTTCCTTCAGGCCAGAACCCCACCGGTGCCACCCAGGGACCTGAGCGTCGCCGCGCCGTCTACGCTGTGTGCCAGAAGCACGATGTTTACATCATCGAGGATGAACCCTACTACTTCCTGCAAATGCAGCCTTATGCCGGCAAGGATGCGCCGGTGCCGCCACCGCCGGCGAGTGTTGACCAGTTCCTCGCCGACCTGGTCCCCTCGCTGCTGAGCATGGACACGGACGGCCGCGTCTTGAGGATGGACTCCTTTTCCAAGGTACTGGTGCCAGGCTCACGACTCGGATGGATCACGGCGTCGGCGCAGATGGTGGAGCGATATATCCGCCACGCCGAGGTCGCCAACCAGGGCCCGAGCGGCTTCTCACAGGTCATGCTGTGGAAGCTGCTGGACGAGACGTGGGGCCATGAGGGCTACCTGAAGTGGTTGATCGACTTGAGGATGAGCTACACGCGGCGACGCAACATGCTGCTCGCCGCCTGCGAGGACCACTTGCCGAAGGATATCGTATCTTGGACCCCGCCTGCCGCAGGCATGTTCGTAAGTTGCCTACGGCCCGTACACCACCTGGCGTGTTTGTGACACTAACGGACTGGCAGCTCTGGCTCAAGGTCGACCACACCAAGCACCCCGACTACCCGCAGCGCTCAATTCTGGAGATCGAGGAAGACATCTTCAACAACGCCATTGGAAACGGTGTTCTCTGTGCGCGGGGCTCCTGGTTCCGTACTGAGCCTGGCACGCCTGCGAAGGACATGTTCTTCCGGGCAACCTTTGCCAGCGCATCGGAGGACGCCATGAGCACAGCTATTCAGAGACTGGGGGCGGCGATCAAAACTTCGTATCGCATGGACTGAGGTGAAGTAATGACTCGAAAACACCATGTCACCCTGGTTAGAGGAGCATCAGAGGCCCAGAACATGAGACTCATTGAGGCCTGGGGACTGCGCTGCGGATTGGATTTGGGCCTGATTTTTCATATACTTGATAATTTCCAGCGAATCTCAATGGCATGATACTTTTCTTCATCAACGACTGCCCAATGATGTGAGGGAGAGACAATCGAGTGCCTTGTTCAGAGGGACAAACGAGAAATAGGGGGCAGTCACGTGCCCTCCTAAAGGCACATAGGGTATCTGGTGCTTCGTCCCCCCCTCCACAGTGCAACTCACTGCCCGTCTGACTCACACACGGTCCCCGCCAAAAGATCAATCGCATCTGCCAGAAACACCCCTCTTCTGCCGGGGACGCGCGAAAACTGCCCCTCACTTTCAGCGACTCGATCTACCCAGACCTCAAAATCCAGATCCTCGGCACCCACCCTACGTCAGCAAGAAGAACGAGAAAGATACAGCCATGCTCGACGCCCTGGACTTCATTGCCGAACGCGGCGGCGACCCCGAGAAGATCAGGGAGAGCCAGCGCCAGCGTGGCGACCCGGTAGAGCTCGTCGACGAGGTTATTGCTCTGTGGCAGGAGGCGCGCAGCGGTTCGTCATGTCCATTTTTTTTTTGACATGCCTTTTTTTGGGCAACATTGACTTCAGTTGGACTGACAGTTCTACAGAACAGTACAAGGTCACCCAGTTCAACGCGCAAATCGGCGCCGTTCAGAAGGAGATTGGCCAACGGAGGAAGAACAAGGTCGACGACGCTGACCTGCAGGTGAAGAAGACGGACCTGCAGAAGCAGCAGAAGGACCAGGAGGCCGCTGCGGCTGAGAAGCAAAAGGGTGCGTTCTCTCCCCCTCCACATTGGGCCCCCTTACACATGACGGAGGTCACCTAAAATCGAAGACTGACCCGCGCCTGCAGAGCTGCGCAACAAGACGAGAATCATTGGCAACTACGTCCACGAGTCCGTCCCCATCAGCAATACCGAGGATGACAACAAGGTGATCCGCACCTGGAAGCCTGAGGGCCGCGAGCTGAAGCCCTTTGCCGCCGCCGTTTCGCATCACGACGTCCTGCTGAAGCTCGGCGGTTACGATCCCACGCGCGGCGTCAAGCTTGTTGGCCACCGCGGATACTGCCTGACGGGCATGGGCTACTTCCTGTAAGGACCACGGACGGCACACACCTCTGTCTAGTTCTCGTTCTCACACGCTTGCAGGAACCAGGCTCTCGTCAGCTACGGTATCGAGTTCCTCTTCAACAAGGGTAAAGACCTACCCCCTTTCCCATGACGCATGTTCAGTACGAGATACAGACTAAGCGCCCTCCTGCAGGCTACACCCCCAACCAGCCCCCCTACTTCCTCGACCGCGACCAGATGGCCAAGACGGCCCAGCTCTCCCAGTTCGACGAGGAGCTGTACCGCGTCTCCGAGGGCAAGAGCACCGACGGCTCGGCCGACAAGTACCTCATCGCGACGAGCGAGCAGCCGCTCTCGTGCCTGCACGCCGACGAGTGGCTGCAGCCCGGCCAGCTGCCGATCAAGTACGCCGGCTTCAGCACGTGCTTCCGCAAGGAGGCCGGCAACCACGGCCGCGACGCCTGGGGCGTCTTCCGCGTCCACCAGTTCGAAAAGGTCGAGCAGTTCGTCCTCTGCAAGCCCGAGGACAGCTGGAAGTTCTTCGACGAGATGATCGCCACCTCCGAGGAGTTCTACAAGTCCCTCGGCCTGCCCTACCAGGTCGTCAGCATCGTGTCCGGCGCCCTCAACAACTCTGCCGTACGTGCCCCGTCTATGCGCTCGGCGATGAAACCCCCTCCCCCCCTTTATCCCCCTTTCACACATGGCTCCCCCCTTTTCACACATGAAATACCCTCGCTAACCCTACCACTCCCTTCCAGGCCAAGAAGTTCGACCTCGAGGCCTACTTCCCCTTCCAGGGCGAGTACAAGGAGCTCGTCTCGTGCTCCAACTGCACCGACTACCAGACGCGCGAGCTCGAGATCCGCTACGGCGTCAAGAAGGCCAAGGAGGCCCCCGGCAGCGGCAAGAAGGAATACGTCCACGCCCTCAACTGCACCCTCACCGCCGCCGAGCGCACCCTCTGCTGCGTCCTCGAGAACTACCAGACCGCCGAGGGCCTCAACGTCCCCGAGGTGCTGCGGAAGTACATTCCCGGCCAGCCCGAGTTTATCCCCTTTCAGAAGTGAGTCGGAGCGCCTTTCATGGCGTTCGTTGAAGGGTTAGGCGGATGATGGGGGGAAAAACGTAGCGGAGGCAAAGTGACACGCTAGAAGGAGCATCTGTGTTAGATTTGAGCGACTGAACAGAGATGTCTCGTGTGACGTTCAAGAATTGATGACTACCAGACACACTTTTTCGTTCTCTTGCCATCAACCCACATCAGCTTTACTTTTCACAACGCGTGACGTGCCAGCAGGTATTTGGTCATGTAACGTTCAATGCACAGTTCAAGCTCGTATCATGGCTAGTCAAAATACATAGAGGACCCATCATCAATCCGAATCTCACGCCTTCTTGGCTTCCCAAAAGGCAACCTTGACGCCCTCGCCCGGTTGCAGCACAATCTCCGCCTTCAGACAAGGGCTGCCGCCGTCCACCTGGTCCATGTGGCTCTCAACCCGCTCGTACCGCTGGAACAGGCGGCACAACACATAACTCATCTCCGTCAGGGCAAACTGCTGTCCAATGCAGATGCGCGGCCCGCCGTTGAACGGAATGTAGGTCCACGGCTTCGGCTGCCAGTGCTGCCAACGCTCTGGTGAGAAGACGTTATGGGGGGCGAATGTAGCCGAAGGGGGCGGGTAGATGTCTGCACGGCGCTGCATGACGAGAGGAGAATAGCCGACGGGTGTGTTCTTCAGAACAGGCAGTGGCAAAGAGCCGTCAGGACCACCGCCGCGCGGGAGCGTCGTGTCGCGGAGCGCGAGACGCACGTTGTAAGGCACGACAGGATAGAGACGGAGTGTCTCGTTCATGACGTTCTGCAGGTATTTCATGCTCTTCAGGTCTGCATAGGTTGGCTCGCGGTCGGGCCCGACGTGCTGGAGGATCTCGTCGCGAAGCTTGCGGACAAGCTCGGGCTGACGGGACAGCTCGTAAATAGTCCATGACAAGGTGCAGGCAGTGGTGTCACGTCCAGCGAGCAGGACGGCAACGAGCTGATCGCGAATGACTTTGCGGTCTTGTGTGAAACAGGCGAGCTCATGCAGGAAAGTGTAGTCCTTGTCAGATTTGGTCTTGGAAGAGAGCTCCTCGGGGCTTAGGCGCAGAGCACGGTCGATGTACTGGTTGACAAAGTCGTTGATGACACGAAGGCCACGGCGGAAGGAGGCACGGGGCACGAAACGACGAAGTCCATTCGAACGGGCAATGATGCTCTGGACCCGTTGGACTTCGTTGAAGGCCTCTGCAAAGTCTTGGCGGGGAGTTCTGGATCATTGTCAGTCTGTGGGGGGTCTGGCTCTTGGCTATATGGGCCGCACTCACGACATGGATTTGACATCTTTGCCCAGAAGGAAGTCGGTTGCAACATCAAGGGTATAACGGAAGAACATGTCGCTAATGTCGAGAACCTTACCATTGCCGGCCTCGAGGTTGACAGGCTGGTCTTCGCCATTCAGTGCTCCACCGTTGGCAATGGCCTTGAATAGCGTCTGGATATGGGATTCGAAGCAGTGCAAGTCGCTGACACGGTCGCGAATGAACTGAGGACGGATGAGATGCCGACTCGTGTGCCACTTGTCGCCATCAGTGGTGAAGATGCTGTCACCGAGGAATTCGCTCCATTCCGCGTGGAACGGCTCGCCCTTGCCAAAGTCGTTGAACTGGGTAGCAAGAATGGCCTTGATGTTCTCAGGGTCGGCCGTGGAGATGATGCGTTGACCAAGCACTCGTGTCTCGCCGGTGTAGGAGTCAATCTCCCGGAATTTGTTGGTCCAGAACTCCAGGTTGGTATGTGCCATGGCATGCTTGACAGCGGCAAAGACGAAGCGAAGGCCAAAGGGAAAGGTCAAGCCATAGACCTTGCCCGAGGTGTAAGGGGCAAGGCGACGGAGGCGAACATGTTCATCGATGCGGCCGAGGACGACCCAGAGAATGGTAGCAAATCCGAGAAAGGCGGCAACGGTCTTTGTGGAGATATTGTCCACGACAAACTCAACGAGACCCATGATGGAGGGTTGATCGAGGTTCAAATCAGACAAAGACGATCCGAGTATGGGGTGAACGGTGGTGGCGGCACGTGGCGGTGTCACGGTTGGTGGATCTCAACGGATCCTAAGTCGAAGAGAGGCGGCGCTCTAAGCCTGAACCATGAGACGGTTATGCTTTTGCCGGCGAATGACAGCAAATAGCGTTGTCAAAGGGAGAACCGAGAGGGACTTCAGTTCAATACCTCGAAGTCCAAGATGAGGTTTGTGAGAAGAAACAGTCAAGGAAGGCAGCAGGGTATGCTGGTCATGAGGTAGCGACAAAGGAACAGGGAAGCAGCTCGATCTTAATAGGTATAACGGCCTGGCCCCTCGAAGCTGGCGTCCTTGATTCAATTTGTGTGGCAAGCTTGTGGGCGGATCTTGGAGGCGTGTGCTGGTGCGGGAAACGGGCCCCCCACCTGATGCTTGGTGCTGCTGGCTTAGACCGTTTTGGCGGGGAGGACCGGGGTCAACACGGGGTCGTGATGTTGGAGATATCCCGAAGGTCCTTTCCCAGGTCGGGGCTTGATCCTGACATTGACATGCCGGGTGGATTGACGGATAGGTCAAGTCGTTTCTGCCAGCCACAAACGGAAGCTGATGCGAAGCTGCAAGACTTCATAGGTTAGTAAACGGCGGGTGGAAGGCTGTGCGCCTCGTCTGGCAGAAGCCGCCCGCAGTCCATGTGCTGCTGCACAGGATTGCCGCTGTGGCTCGAAGAGAAGACCACCAGCCTTATCCTTTGAGTGCTGTAGAAGTGAGCGCCCGCGTGCCATTTCACGCCCAGGTGGTACAGAGCATCGGCTTTCGAGGCATGTGGTTGTCATGCTGCCAAGGGGCACTTGCCACCGAGACGGAGACGAGGACGGCGACGGAGACGGAGAGAAACATCTTGACGAAGACCGCTCATGAGCTTCGCGGCAAGGGTGGATGCTGGCAAGCGCAGGGCATCTTGGTCAGGTATGGTCATGGTCGTGGTCATGGTGATGAAGACGTGGAGAGTGATGGGAATCCAGGAACACAGTTCAGTGGACAGTGCGTGGTGTGGTTTTGACAAATGGCACGCTGCCCTTTGGTGAAACGAAGTAACACCCCGCTGCAAGTGACAGGGCAGGTGCAGATGCAGTGTAGGTGCAGGCAGGTTCAGGTGCAGCCTAGGGGG